GAGAGGAGCGGGGGGGTGGGCGGGGGGTAGACAAGGGGCGTGGCCTAAGGGACCGAGGGGGCGGAGCAAGGAGCGAGACTTGAAATGGGTGGAGCTAGAGATAAGCTGGGGGCTAAAGGGGGCGTGATCGGTGAGGGGCGGGGGGGAGCATAGCCTAAGGGGAGATGGAGTAAGGGGTGATTTTCAGTAGAGAAGACCTGCCCCCCTTTTGGTCTTTGTACAGAACACGAAAAAGGTGGATTTTGGAAAGTCAAGCTCTCAGGCAAATGGAAAATTGGGTGTAATTTTGAGGGAAGACACCCCATTCCCTAAGAGTACCTTATTTCCCTAACTTCCAAGGAAAAGGCACTGGATTTAGAGTCAGGACACCTGTGGTTGCTGGCGCTGCCGCTTACTGACTGCGTGACCCTGAATAATCTCTTAATCTTTCTGAGCCTCAGTTTCCTCATCTGTCAAATGGGGTTTAGAGGAATACCTACCTCACAGTGTTATTGTGGGGAATTACTCAGATGAGAGTTGTGAACATATTTTTAAATTCTAAAGGAAGGGCTATGTTGTGAGATTTATCATTCTTCTCTCTTTTTCTTCCCAGAGACCCCCCCGGCCGCCCTTCTCCTTCCTTTGTTCCTGTGGCTGGGGGGGGGTTATCCCCCCCCTCCACAACATGGAGCCATCTCCTCTGTCTCCCAGTGGAGCAGCACTCCCCCTGCCTCTATCACTGGCTCCACCCCCACTACCTCTGCCAGCAGCTGCAGTGGTACACGTGTCTTTCCCTGAGGTGACCAGTGCCCTCCTGGAATCCCTCAATCAGCAGCGGCTGCAGGGCCAGCTCTGTGATGTGTCCATCCGAGTGCAGGGCAGGGAGTTCCGGGCTCATCGGGCTGTCCTGGCTGCCTCCTCCCCTTACTTCCATGACCAGGTCCTACTCAAGGGTATGACCTCTATCTCGCTACCCAGCGTCATGGACCCAGGCGCTTTCGAGACTGTCCTGGCTTCTGCTTACACAGGCCGCCTCAGCATGGCCGCTGCTGATATTGTCAACTTCCTCACAGTGGGGTCTGTGCTCCAAATGTGGCACATTGTGGACAAGTGCACTGAACTCCTCCGAGAAGGCCGGGCCTCGGCCACGACCACCATCACTACTGCTGCAGCCACCTCTGTCACTGTCCCTGGTGCTGGGGTTCCATCAGGGAGTGGGGCCACTGTTGCCCCCGCCACCATGGGCTCCATGCGTTCCCATGCCTCTAGCCACGCCAGTGAGAATCAGTCTCCCAGCAGCAGCAACTACTTCAGCCCCCGGGAATCCACTGATTTCTCATCTTCCTCTCAAGAGACATTTGCAGCTTCTGCAGTGGGCAGTGGAGAGCGGCGAGGAGGCGGCCCTGTATTCCCAGCCCCTGTGGTTGGCAGTGGGGGGGCTACATCTGGGAAGCTGCTGCTGGAGGCAGATGAGCTGTGTGATGATGGTGGGGATGGGAGGGGGGCAGTCGTCCCTGGGGCTGGGCTCCGGCGGCCCACCTACGCACCCCACAGCATCATGCCACAGAAACACTGGGTGTATGTGAAGCGGGGTGGAAACTGCCCCGCACCAGCACCCCTGGTTCCCCAAGACCCAGAGATGGAGGAGGAAGAAGAGGAGGAAGACCTGGTGTTGACCTGTGAGGATGATGAAGATGAAGAGCTGGGAGGTGGTTCTGGGGTTCCAGCGGGGGGAGGGCCTGAAGCTACCCTCAGCATAAGCGATGTCCGCACCCTGACTGAGCCTACCGACAAGGGGGAGGAGCAGGTCAACTTCTGTGAGTCCTCCAATGACTTTGGCCCCTATGAGGGTGGGGGTCCCGGCGCAGGGCTTGACGACTCAGGGGGACCCATCCCCACCTCCTATGCCCCCTCCCACCCTCCGAGACCCCTCCTTCCTTTGGACATGCAGGGCAACCAGATCCTGGTCTTCCCATCATCTTCATCCTCCGCCTCACAGGCTCCGGGCCAGCCACCAGGGAATCAAGCCGAACACCACGGGGCGGTGACCCCAGGGGGCACATCGGTGGGGGGCCTGGGTGTGCCAGGTGGCGCTGGCGGGGCCCCTGGAGGGACCAGCAGCGGGGACGGGAATAAGATCTTTCTGTGCCACTGCGGGAAGGCCTTCTCCCACAAGAGCATGCGGGACCGGCACGTGAACATGCACCTCAACCTGCGGCCCTTTGACTGCCCTGTGTGCAACAAAAAGTTCAAGATGAAGCACCATTTGACTGAGCACATGAAGACGCACACAGGTCTGAAGCCCTACGAGTGCGGCGTCTGCGCCAAGAAGTTCATGTGGCGAGACAGCTTCATGCGCCACCGGGGACACTGTGAGCGCCGGCACCGCCTGGGCGGGGCCGGACCCGGGGCGCCCACGGGTCCAGCCTTGCAGCCCAAGAGTGAGTCCTCCGGAGCGGGCGGGGTCAGTGGCGATGAGGCAAGTGGGGCCACGCCCCAGTCCAGCAGACGTGTTTGGTCCCCACCCGGCGTCCACAAGGTGGAGATGGGCTTCAATGGGGGCGGAGGAGCAAACTGAAGGGGCAGGCTACTTGGGAGTAGCTTTCGGGAAAGAGGGAATAGGGAGCACAGTCCAGGGACGCTGTGGCCCCTGGTCTCTCACCCTACTTACTGTCTTCCTTTATCTCTATGGACTTGTACATATTCTGGAGGGGGAACCCCGTTGCACCATGGCCAGCCCATTCCACCCCTCAGCTCCTCCCTCCCTAGGTGTCCCTTCCTTCCCCTCCGATGGGTCCATCGAAGCCCCAGCTTCACAGAGTAGGGCGCGCATGATGAGGGGAGGGAGAGGGGAAGTTTTGAGCATCCTGGAGTCACAGGGTCAAGGGGTCAGGTGGTTGTAGTCTGTGCCTGAAGTCTGTGTTTGTGTTGTTGTGGGGACCAGACCTTTGAGTCCCACCTTTGTCCCAGAACCTACCCCCTCCCAAAGGATGAACCCCTTATTTCTATCCTATCTTACCCCCCTCCCCTGGGGATCCCCAACTCTGTTCTCGTGGGGGAGTGGGTAGAGACCAGGAGGGAGTAAGTCGTAGGAGTACGAAGTTTTTATTTTTTTAAAAAAATAGTGATTAAAATATTTATTGGTCATTTCACTTGGCTTCCCTACAACCCTTATGTGTTTGCTGGGGACCCGGCACAGGTGGGGGAAAGCGGGATTGAAGGTTCTCGGGGAAGTGGATGATGGAGGGGGAGGATAAGGTCAATTTGGAGAAGGCTCGAGCTTGGCGCTGCTGGGTGGTCCAGGAGGGCGCCGCAGGGCTGAGGTACCTTGACGAGAATTGGAGAGGATGTTCTCGGATCCCCGCCTGGTCCGTGGCAGACGCACCCGCCTCCCAGGCGTCCTCACCTAACCAGTGCGGGGATTTCCTCCGCCCCTCCTGCTGGCGTTTGGAGGAAAGTGAAAGTGAAAGGGGGAAGAGGAGGCTTCTGGGCTGAGGAGATCGCGGCGCCATGAAGCCCCTGTCCCTGCTCCTCGTTGTGGCTTTGGGTGAGCGAACAACGCGGCTCCTTGCCCGGGAACAGTGGGGCGGAGAGAGGGGGGGCGGGGAAGCGGAGGGAGGTGGCTCTACCAGGCGCCCGACAACAGGGTGGGGGGCGGGTTCCGCAACACCCGGCTGCCTTCTCACTCGCGCACCTCTCCCCCAGGCCTGGTGACCGCCGCCTCGGCAGGACCCACGGTGATCGAGTGCTGGTTCGTCGAGGATGCGGGCGGGGGCAGACTGGCCAAGAGACCCGCTGCACTGCTGCTGCGCCAGGGACCAGAAGGACCGCCGTCCCGGCCGGACCTCGACCCTAAGCTCTACCTCAGCCTGCACGGTGAGTCTTCCGGGACTCGCCCCCACCTCTGTCGCCTCCACCGAAACCTTCTCCTTTTTAGATCGCGCAGTGACTTCTGGCCTCAGTTTCCCTTTATGTAAAATGAGTCTGGATTACCTCCAAACCTCTCACTACGGGGTAGTCTGTGCGTTTGGAGTTCCCCGAACGCTGCCCCTCCAGCCCCTTTCCTGGCCGCGACTCTACAGCTGCAGCTTCCATTCTGCGCTCACAGACCCTGCCGGCGCTCTCCAGGCTGCCTTCAGGCGGTACCCCCGGGGCGCCCCCGCGCCACACTGCGAGATGAGTCGCTTCTTCCCGCTCCCTGCCTCAGCGAATTGGGCCAGCGGCCTGACCCCGGAGCAGAGTTGTCCTCGGGCCCTGGACGGGGCTTGGCTGATGGTCAGTATGTCCAGCTCGGTCTTCAGCCTCTCCAGCCTCTTGAGACCACAGCCGGAGCCTCAACAGGAGCCTGTTCTCATCACCATGGCAACAGGTAGCTGGGGAGGGGAGGTGGAGTTGGATAGTAAATTCTACGGGTCCAGATCAGCCTGTGACTTGCTGTATGGACTCGAGCGAGTCATTTCCCCAATCGGGGTTCTGTTTCCTTTTTTGTAAAGCGAGGTGGTTCGGCAAGAGTTACCACTCCTTCTAGCCCTCACCCAGTAAAAACAACAACAAAAAAAACCAGACAAAACCCCCCACCTGCGGGTTGGGGGCGGGGCTTCATTGGTATTCGGAAGGGCGGAGCTTTGGATAGGAGGGGTTTCCTCACACCCGACCTTGAGAAACTTGTAAGGTGATAGGGTTGGGAGGAGTTCAGAAGCGGGAAGTTTTCTCTCCCTTGCTCCCAGATCCCACCTTGCTAGGCACGCCCACCTTTGAGGTTCACCCTATTTAAAAAACCAGCCTTCGAGCCCACACCCGGCGCTGCGGCAATCAGCAAAGCCAAGCCTCTTGCACTCAAGCGTGTTCACCTTCCCTGACAACTGTTTCCTTAAGGCGCGTGGGGATACGCTGACTCTCAGTGGGCGGAAGAAAAGGGCGGGAGACCCGATGGTTTCCACTGCAAAGACTGCTTATTGCATAGTGATACGCGGCGTGAGGCCCAGGGCTCGGGGAGGGAGTGGGCGGATAATATGAGAAGCGGGAAGACCTGACCCGGATATCTAGAAGCTCTCCCTTCTCGCAGCAGAGGCCGGGTAAGATATCGGTAACATCTTCGGGTTCTCTCAGTCTCGTACGATTTTACGTGGACAACACATCCTGAGGGATAGGTCAACCCCACCCGAGCCCCTCCATCCTCCCTTCCCCCGTACTTCCTCCCTGACACTCTCCTCAATGAGAGAATCACTCACAGGACCTGAAATCCTCGCCTCTTCCTACACCTGCATTCTTAGTCTCCAGCTCCCACCCCGGCCAGGGGCGGAGGAAAACTACTCATTGTGGGAACAGTAGCTCTCTGCAGTGGGGGGGAATATTTCTTAGGGGGGGCTGGCTTCAATAAGATAGCGGTGAGAAGGTCCTTTTCCCTCTGTCTGTTTTTCCAATTTTTAAAATGTGGATACTCATTCCCAGCTGTCTTTCCATTGTTCTGTCTATCAAGGGAGACACTTAATTTATTCACTGATTCGACAAATGCTTATTAGCACCAAGAATAAGTTAGGGCTCAGAAGTTCTCAGTCCAGACCACAAATAAGAATCCTGTTGGAAGTTTCTAAATATATTGAAACCTGGGTACCTCTCCTGGCCAAGTAAATCAGAATCTCTGGGGTGGCCCTGGGCATATTAAGGGTCACAGAGGTGATCAGATGTAGATTCTGCTGTCAAGAAGGTTCTCAGTAGATTTGTCATGGATAATCCTAATGTAAAGTAGAAAGTGACTTGTGCCAGTGAAGGAAGTGCAGATAGGAAGCCCTAGGAGGGCCCAGGTGGGAAGAATGTCAGCATCTCACAGACCACTGGGGTAATAACAAGTTACTGTGCTCTGTCTTCCTTTTCAAGCATTACTGCTTAATTAGGATTTAAGAAAATGAAAGCTATTGTGGTTGTGATGTAAGATTGTTTTTTTTTGGGAAACTGGCCAATACAGGGATCTGAACCCTTGACCTTTGTGTTATAGCACCGAGCTCCAACCAACTGAGCAACTGTCCAGCCCTCTCATGAAATATTTTTAAATGTTTGTTGGCAAATATACTTTCTTGACATACTTTGTGTGTATAGTATTTAATGTTACCTCTCCCCCAGGGTGATGGAGATGCAAAGGATTACTCACAGCCCATTTCTTTTGAGCAGTGAGAAGCCCCGAAGGGGTTAATTTTCCAGTAACCCTCAAGAGAGGCATTCCTCCTTGGAAAAATAACACCGACTGGGTCTTCTCCTAGTATTTGTTTTCCAGGGCAGAAAGTTACAGAAAAGGAACAGAGGTGGTTACAAAAAGAACAGTAAGATAATTGTCATGGCAACACTCATTTATTTGTAAAAAGTGGATCCACCAACAAAATCTCATTCTTAGCAAATACTTTCTTTTCCTACAGCAATTTCCTCAGTATATTTACATAACAACCAAGCAACTTTCTCAACATATCAATCAGTAGGTTAACCTGTACCAAGGACATTTGCCCTTTGAACCAGCAATTTTGCTGTGTTACAGTTCTTTATCTACAACAGAGACTTTAGCCTGGGGAAAGTTTCCTGTCTTTGGCAAGCTTAACATTTCTATGTGTAATTTTAAAAAGTTAGGCCATACCTGAAATTACAGGGTCTTGGAATCTAGGCCCTGTGAAATACATTTGCTATGTAAATGTTACTCCACATTTAATTCTCACCATTCTTTTATAATACTGTTATGGAAAATTTCAAAGATATGCAAAAGTAGAGAGAATTGTATAATGAGCCCCCCATACCTGTTACCCACTTGTGTAGTTATTACATTTTGCCAGATTGTTTCACCTATCCTCCCTCTATCTTCTTTTTTTATTTTTTTCTGAAGTATTTTAAAGTGTATCCTAGGCATCATATTATTTTACTCATAATTACTTAGTAAGCATCTCTATTAAATGAGGATTTAAGAAAAAACATAATCACAATACCATTATCACACCTAACAAAACAAATAATAATTCCTTAATATTATCTAATTCCTAGCCCATATTAAAAATTTCCTGATTGTCTCAGTGATGTCCTTTTACAGTTGATTTGCTCAAATCACAGTCCAAAACAGGTTCATATGTTATATTTGGTTGTTATACTAGTCTGCTTAGGCTGCCATAACAAAATTCCATAGATTGGGTGCTTAACAGACAGAAATTTATTTTCTCACAGTTCTGTAGGCTAGACATCCAAGATCAAGGTGCCAGCAGGGTTGGTGTCTGATGAGGGCTCTCCCTTTGGTATGCAGAGCAAGACCTTTTTGCTGTGTCCTCACATGACAGAGAGAAAAAGCTCTGGTGTCTTTTCTACTTCTTATAGGACACCAGTCCTTTTGGATTAGGGCCCCATCCTTATGACCTCATTTACCTTTTATCACCATCTCATAGTCCTTATCTCTAAATACAGTCACCTTGGGGATTAGGGCTTCAACATATGAATTTTGGGGACACAACACTTAGTTCATAACAGTTGTTTTGTGTCTTAGGTGTCTCTTTTTAATTTGGCAGCTGGCCAGTATGGGAACCCAAACCCTTGACCTTGGTGTTATAACAATGTGTTCTAACCAACTGGGTCTCTTTTATTCTATAATTGCCATCCCTTCCCTTTAAAAAAAAAAATGTTATCGATTTGTTGGAGAAACCTGGTCATCTGTCCTGTAGAATTTCCCACATTCTATATTTGGCCAATTGTTTCCTTAAGGTGTCATTTACCTTGTTCCTCTTTCCTCCGTATTTCCTATAAACTTATTGTTAGATCTAGAAACTTGATTAGATTTAGATTTAATTTTTTTTTCCAGTGATACTTTATAATTAGTTGTTATCCATTCACCTTTTTAACAGAAAAGCAGAAACGTATGTATATAAGCTACAAAACAGGAAGAACTTTTCCTTACTCTTCTGGCCCTGTTATATTTACATTTGTATTCTTACAAAGTACAGTTTATGGGATGCAGGTCTAAAATTGCTTCTAATAAACCTTATTAAAGATTACTGTTAGTGTAAGGTTAAACTGTAAAACCTTTAAGTTTTGTTTATTAATTATGTGGATCTTTTTCAAAAATTCAAAAGTATATTTCTGGATTTTGATAAACTAAGGGAAATTACATACTTTTTTTTTTATTCTACTGAGCTAAAACAATCCCATGAAATTGAAAAAAGTTTAACCTTATAGGCCTCAGATGCTAGGATTAAAAATATAAGAGTGTGGTGCTGATAATAACAAGGTCCAGGGTTCAATCCCTGTACTGGCCAGCCACCAAAAGACAAAAGAAAGCAAAAAACATAATTACAAGAGGCAAAAAAGATTCCTTCCACCTGGTGGACCCAGACATCTCTGGGAAGTAGCAGAGGTACTGACTTTGAAGGACATTTAGAGGTTTTGAAGAAAATGGGAAAGACATTATAAACCGAAGGAACCTCATGACCAAAGCGAAGAGATACCCAATGATTAGAATTTCTACCAGGTGGGGGCCGGGGCCGGCCCCATGGCTCACTCGGGAGAGTGTGGCACTGGTAGCACTGAGGCCGCGGGTTTGGGTCCTCTGTGGGGATGGCCGGTGCGTGTGCAAAAAAAAAGAATTTCTACCAGGCGGGGCCAGCCTGTGGCTCACTCAGGAGAGTGTGGTGCTGATAACACCAAGGCCACAGGTTCGGATCTCTATATAGGGATGGCCGGTTAGCTCACTTGGGAGAGCGTGGTGCTGACAACACCAAGTCAAGGGTTAAGATCCCCTTACCAGTCATCTTTAAAAAAAAAAAAAAGAATTTCTACCAGGCACAAGAAGGGGATTCTTGGTTAGAGTGTGGTGTTGATAACATTAAGGTCAAGGTCAAGGGTTTGGATCCCTGGACTGGCCAGCTGCCAAAAAAGAAAAAGAAACAGGACTAGAAAAGAAAGTTTTTTGTTTTTTTTTTTTGGTTGCTGGCCGGTACAGGGATCTGAACCCTTGACCTTGAGCACTAAAAATTGAATCCAGGCCATCTAGCTCCAGCCTGTACCTTTAGCTGCTGACTTCCTAGGTAGCTGGGATTTTTAAACAGGCAAGTGACCTGATCAGACTAGTAGTCACATTGTTTGGCTACAGTGTGAAGGAGGAGTTAAAGGAGAGAGCGACTGAGGATAGGGAGACCAGAGAGGAGGCAGTTGTAATTGTCCAAATGTACGTTGATGAGGACCTCAGTTGAAAACAAATGTGAGATCTATTAGGACCTGGTGGGGATAGTATGTAGCACATTATTTTTGGCAATTTGCTTTTCCCTCACTAGACTGTAGGCAATTTGAGGGCAGGGACTCTCTGTCTTGTTCACTACTTTATCCTCTACACTATACCTTGAACATCCTAGGTGCTCAATAAATATTTGTTGAATGAATGAATGAGAGGAAGGAGTCTGAGTCCAGGTATTTGCCTTTAGCGTCTGAGGGGCTGGTGGTGACCAATTGTCAGAGACAGAGAAGATGGACTTTGGAGCAGGATGGGGGAATGTTGCAGAAGTGTCATGGAGTTGGGGCATGTTAAGTTTGTCTGGCAGATGGTTAGGTGTAATCATAGCAAACACTTTAGTAGATTTACTGGTTTCCAAACATGGTTCTAAGCACCTTTCATAGATAGGTTTCTTGTTACCCCAAATCAGAAACTGAATAGAAGGGCCCTGTGGCGCACTTGGGAGAGTGCGGCGCTTGGGTGCGCAGCGGTGCTCCCACTGCGGGTTCGGATCCTATATAAGGATGGCCGGTGCGCTCACTGGCTGAGTGTGGTGCGGGCCACACCAAGCCAAGGGTTGCGATCCCCTTACCGGTACCACACACAAAAAAATTGAATAGATTTGGGAAGCAAGAGGTATTAAGTGCTTTCATTTATTTATTTATTTTTTGGCGGATGACCAATATGGAGATCAGAACCTTTGATCTTGTTATAACACCACACTGTAACTGACTGAGCTAACTGGCTAGCCCTTCATCCCTATTTTAAAGATTAGGAAGGTGAGCCATGGAAAAGTGAAGGAAGTGGCCCAAGGCCATATAAATAAGCTGTGGAGTTAGGATTTGTGCCAGGGCAGCCAAGCTCAAAGCACTTAACCACTGCACTATGCTGCTTCAGTAGAACATAGAGGTCTGTGCTCAGGTCTAGGCTAGAGCCAAAACCTCCCAGTAAATACTCTGGACAGCACCATAAGATTGACAGTCATCAGTCGCTGTCTTCACCAGTAACCAAGAAAGGCCTGGCTCTTCAAGGGTGATTCTTGGAGACTGGACTGGTTCAGATTGTGTCAGAAGTACCCTCAGATCCTACTGTCCTCAGAGCCTGAGTGGGCTGTGTGTTCAGAGCAGGCTTCAAAGGTCATATACCTTCACTGCTTCTATTCACCCCTAGACCTCTCTGCTTATTCTCAGCCACAACAGGTTCCACCCAGTCCCAGAGCAAAGGGGATTTGCAGGGAGGGCTGGGAGATGGTGAGCATCAGAAAAGGAGGTGTGCTCTGAGGGGTGGATAAATTGGAGTTCAGTCCTCCCTATAATTCCATTTCTCTCCCTATTTTTTCTCCTTCTTTCTCTCCTTTGTGCCCCTCCCACTTCCTCATCCCCCTATTTTCCCCAGTGGTGTTGACTGTCCTCACCCACACCCCTGCCCCTCGAATCCGACTGGGACAAGATGCTATGCTGGACTTGAGTTTCGCCTACATGCCCACAACCCCCGAGGCCACCTCATCTCTGGCCCAAGGCCCCCCTCCCTTTGGGCTGGAGTGGCGACGCCAGCATCTGGGTAAGGGACACCTGCTCCTGGCTGCAACTCCTGGTCTGAGTAGGCAGATGCCGGCAGCCCAAGAGGGGGCAGTGGCATTTGCTGCTTGGGATGATGATGAGCCGTGGGGTCCATGGACTGGGAATGGGACCTTCTGGCTGCCTGCAGTGCAGCCCTTTCAGGAGGGAACCTATCTTGCCACTGTACACCTGCCATACCTGCAAGGACAAGTCACCCTGGAGCTTGCTGTGCACAGTAAGTGGGGGGACAGAGGTCCCCACAGGTACAGGGTGGACACTAAGATTATGGGGACGCCATGATAGGGGAAGGTATGCTAGAAAAGAGGATGCCTGGGTGAGTGAATGGACATAGATGGGGGTCCCTGGGAAACTCAGGGGCTTTGGAATGAAGGTTCCCAAATCTGGGGGAAGGTTGAATGGAGGTCCCTGAGAATCTGGAGGACTTTAGCATGGGGATTACTGTGAAGCATCAATGGGGAAATAGTGGGTTCCCTATCCAGGAAGAAGAAACCCAGAACCCTTTCAGTTTTGGTAAAGCCAGAGGGCAAACTGAAGGTCTCTGAGGGAGGATGATGTGGATTGATTTCCCCAGGTTTATTTTCTGCTCTTTCCACAGAGCCCCCCAAAGTGTCCCTGACACCAGCACCCCTTGTATGGGCTGCCCCAGGGGAGGAACCCCCGGAATTACTCTGCCTTGTTTCCCACTTCTACCCTTCTGAGGGCCTGGAGGTGCAGTGGGAGCTCCGGGGTGGCCCCCAGGGTGGCTCTCAGAACGCCGGTGGGCAGAGGTGGCTTTCCACCCTGCGCCACCATTCAGATGGCTCTGTCAGTCTCTCCGGGCACCTGCGGCCGCCCCCGGTTACCGCCGAGCAGCATGGGGCACGCTATGTGTGTCATGTCTACCACCCCAGCCTGCCAGCCTCTGGTCGCAGCGCCGAGGTTACCCTGGAGGTAGCAGGTAAGAGCTGGGAGCACAGTGGAGCCCAGGCCCACATCTGGGAAAACAAGCAGCTCACTCTTGCCCCTCTGCCTGCCAGGACTCTCCGGGCCCTCCCTGGAGGACGGCATAGGCCTTTTCCTGTCTGCCTTTCTCCTCCTCGGATTCATCAAGGTGCTGGGCTGGGTCGGTGAGTGTGAGCCCCACCCTGACCCCTGACTGGGGACATTCTCTGCCTACTCCCAAAAACCTGACACCCATCCCTCTGCCTTCCCCCTCTACCACGCCCATATCCCATCACTTTTCCATCTTCTTCCACAGCTGCCTACCTGTCCATTCGCAAGGATTCAAAGGAGAAGGTAACAGCTCTGTACCTCCACTTATCTTTCCCTTCTCATCTTATCCCCTCTCCCCAACTCATCACCCATGGAGGGAGGCTGCTGGTATAGTGGGCATACCCTGGATTTGGAAGTGGAATTCACAAAGACCTGGGTTTTTTTTTTTTTTTTAAAAGATGACCGGTAAGGGGATCTTAACCCTTGACTTGGTGTTGTCAGCACCACGCTCAGCCAGTGAGCGAACCGGCCATCCCTATGTGGGATCCGAACCCGGGGCCTTGGTGTTATCAACACCACACTCTCCCGAGTGAGCCACGGGCCGGCCCGGCACAAAGACCTGGGTTAAGTCCTGCTGTTACATCCTAACTGTAGGTGCCCCTGAACATACTACTTAATCTACATCTGTTTCCTTGGGTGTAGGGATTTTTAAAAATGATTCAGGCAACACTGTCCAATAGAAAAATAATGCAAGCCACAAATGTAAACAAATAATCTAGTAGTCACATTTAAAAAGTAAAAAGAAGGGCTGGCTGGTTAGCTTAGTTGGTTAGAGCATGATGCTGATAACACCAAGGACCCAGGTTCAATCCCTGTACTGGCCAGTTGCCAAAAAAAAGGGGGGTGGGCAGCCCATGGCTCACTTGGGAGAGTGTGGTGCTGATAACACCAAGTCAAGGATTAAGATCACCTTACCAGTCATCTTTAAAAAAAAAAAAAAGTAAAAAGAAACAGGTAAATTAATTTAATAGTACACTTTATTTTTACTATTATTTTTTAAAAAGACGACCGGTAAGGGGATTTTTTTTTTTTTTTTAAAGATGACTGGTAAGGGGATCTTAACCCTTGACTTGGTGTTGTCAGCACCACGCTCACCCAGTGAGCTAACCGGCCATTCCTATCATGGGATCCGAACCCGTGACCTTAGTGTTATCAGCACCACACTCTCCTGAATGAGCCATGGGCCGGCCCCAGTAAGGGGATCTTAACCCTTAACTTGGTGTTGTCAGCACTACGCTCTCTGAAGTGAGCCACGGGCCGGCCCTAACAGTACACTTTAATATATCCAAAATATTATTTCAACATGTAAACAATATATGAAATTATAGTCTTTTTTCCATCCTAAGTCTTCGAAAGCAGGTGTTTATTTTTATTTATTTTTTATTTTTATTTATTTTTTGTCTTTTTCCGTGTCCGGCAATGGATCGCAACCCTGTGTCGCCCCCGTACCGGACCAGGACCGGCAACGGGATCGCAACCCTTGGTGTTGCCCCCACGCCTCGCTCAGCCAGTGAGCGGGAACCGGTCTGTATGTGGGATCCGAACCCTCGGCGGGAGCGCCGCCGCGCTTCCCAAGTGGCGCACTAGCGCAGTGCGCCACCGGGCCGGCCCAGGTGTTTATTTTTAAACCGTTAACATCTCAGTTCACACTAGCCACATTTCAAATGCTCAATAGCCACATGTGGGTGGTGGCTACCATATTGGACAGCAGAACCTTAGAGGACTGTGAGGAGTATTAAAGAAGATAGTGCATGTCCTTTAGAAGGTACAGGAGATAAAGAACTCAGTACAGTGTCTGGCAGCCAGAAAACACAGAAAATGTTAGCCCCATCCTTCTCCCATCCTCTGTGCCCGTGATGGTTCATATGTCTCTAGATTGACTGTTAGCAGGTCACACTGCCTTCCAAAATCCTGAATTCCTCACCTTCTCCTTACTTCTCTTCCAGAAAGCCCAGTGAGGGCACTCAGCACCACTGTGGAAGCCACTATCATCTCTGGCCCAAGCTACTGTGGTACCTCCCCCAAACAGTACCCCACCATGTGCTCCTATTCCCTCCAATTTCCCTCTACTGAGTGGCCAGAATGGCTTTCGTACAAAACAAATCTTATGGCATTCACTTCCTTAGAGATGTAGGGTGGTGGTTCTCAAATGTTTTGGTCTCAGGACCTCTTAAAAATTATCAAGGACCCTAAAGAGCTTTTGCTTATGTGGGTTATAATTATTGATATTTATTGTACTAGAACTTAAAATTGAGAAAAACTCAAAACACAAGAACGCATAAGCACACGTTCCATTCATTGTGAGAGCTATGGTGTCAATACAAATAATGTTAATTCTGGAAAACTCCACTGTACACCCTTAGAGAATATAATGAAAAAGACAAATAACATCTTGCTATTCTTATGAAAATAGTCTTAATCTCACACACTCCCTGAAATAGTCTCTGGGACCTCTGGGACAGAGACCACACTTGGAGAACCGGTGCTCTAGGGCCAAACCCATTCTTCTTTCCGGGCCTATGTGTACCCCGTGCTGGAGCCACTGCCTACCTCCCCAGTCCTCCCTGGTGCTCCCAGCCCTCCTCTCAATGCTCATCATGACAGCTAATTCCTTTTCTCCAATGAGCCAAACGCCTGCTCGCCGCCGGGTCCCAGCGCTCTGTTCCCTCTCCTGGACTACAGACCAGGTCACCCTCGTCATTCTCCTCAGACTGCCGCGTGTCCCTCTTGTGCAGTTCACCACAGTTTTATTTAAGTAACTGTGCGAGTCGTTAAATGCCTGTCTCCCTCCCGGACTGTGGGCTCCTCGAGGGCAGGAACGAGTCTGGCTGTCCACGGTGTACGTTTGCGCCGCGCCGGCACGAGGCCTCTCGCCCACTGGAGGGCGCTCATCAAGCTGCTGGATGTTGGACGAAGGAAGCGGCGGCGCAGCTTAGGGACCTCTGAGGGGCCGAAGGTCGGCCAGGCCGATGGGGGAGCGGGTCTAATCGTGTGGGAATAAAGTTGTGTTCCTGTGCTTCCAACCGGGTCTCTCATTCTACCCCTTTTTCAAGCACAATGAATCTTCCAATCACCACCGGTTCCTTCCAATTACCCAGATCTCCCAGACGCCTCGGAGACATCTAACCCCCGTCGAGACAAGTCCGGGCAGCAGCGTGCTCTCCCGGAGCTAGGCGACCCGCAGCAAACAGATGGCTGCCCCGGCCGCCGGAAACCCCGGAGCTCCGATCTGGAACCGGTTGTGGTGACTTCCTGCCCCGCCCTTTAGGAGAAGGCGGGAACCTAGGGCTCCTCGGAAAACCCGAAGTGGATTTCCGCCCGCTACACTCGTGGGTTGGCGTGCAGAGTGGAGCCCCGGAGGTGGAGTGACAGTGTCCTTCTACGCCTAAAACTCTTACCGCGGGAAGTTTTAGCCTTGTTTTTGTTGGGGAGGGGAATGTCAAATTCTGCTCCTACCCTCCCCCGGGGTCTGGAATCTTTATCCCAGTGCAGTACGGGGCGACTTGGGCTCCAGAGTCCGCGAGTCGGGGGTGGGGCGGAGGACAGAGGACCTGTGGACCCGGGCTACTGGGTCCTGGCCCCTGGGCGTCCAGCGCTTCCGTAGTCCGCGGCCCTGGCTCCTGTCCTCACTTCCTTCCCCTTTTGGCTCCTGCTCTCGGAGCGGGCGGACGCGGGGGGGAGCGGAAAGGGCGGGAGTGCCC